GATGAGTTTGCACGAGTATGTTCATGCAAAACGGCCAAAGAGGTATGGGACTTGCTACAAGCTACTCATGAAGGCGACGTCTCAACTAAGCAAACGATGATTGCCCTTGGGAATTCGGAATACGAATCCTTCAAGAAAGGGCCATGTGAGACAATCCAAGACATGAACAAGAGGTTCAACGAGATTGTCAACAAATTGAGTAAGTTGGGTAAGACATATACTACTTCCGAGCTTAATACGAAAATTCTATTTTCTTTACCTAAAGAATGGCATAGTAGTATAGTGGATTTATTACCCAAATGTGATATGGCCGAAACCGCCCACATTTGGTCTTCCTTGTATTCTCACGAACTTTTGTTGAGAAAGATAAAAGAGGAAGAAATGCGTGAAAATCCCAAACTTACAAACGCCTTCAAAGCTTCCAAAGAATCATCAAGTGAAGAGTCAAGTGATGATTCAAGTGACTCAAGCTTTACGAAAGAGTCAAATGATGAAGAAGATGAAGAGAAGGCAACGAGAATGAAGTATACGGATTTCCTCAAATGGAAGAAGTATGTGAAGAGGAAAGAAGTATACTCAAAGCCGAAAAAAGAACGGCATAAGCCAAGGTAAGTTTCTCTTCCTCATTGGGATAAGATATTTTGTTTGGTTTTAATTATTTTCAAAAATAAAACCTTATCCCATACATGTTTTTATTTGTTTTAGCCTTGGTTTGCATGATTAAAATTTCTTAAAATCCATGCATTTTTTGAAATAATCCCCAAAAATCCCTGAAAAATAAAGTTTTAAAACTTGCATCATTTTAGGGGGAGTTTTGTTGTAAATGCACCTTATGCCCAAACTATCATTTTTAATTCATTTTGATAGGGGGAGGGTTTCAAGAAGTTATACATGGTTAAAATTTTCAAAATGCCCTTTTTGATTTTGACAAAAGGGGGAGAAGATGTATACTTCAAAGTGGTGCATATGCAACTTGACTTGAGTGCATTCTTGTGTAACTATTTGCATCAAAATCAAACTTTTGATAAACACAAGAAAAGTTCAAAGTGAGTATTTTCAATATGCTTATTCTTAGGGGGAGCTTGCTTGCACCATTATTTTACTCCCTCCTAACTCACTTTGAAGTATATTGTTTGTCAACATAAAAAAGGAGGAGATTGTTAGCCTTGGTTTGCTAAGCCTCATGTTTTGATGTTAACAAACAATATAAGAGCTTGATGTTTGTTTAAGTGTTTCAGGTACAACAAGAATCCATTAAGATTCGGTACTCAAGAATGAAGTTAAAACACCAAACTAGCGTAGAATATAGGTAGAAACCAATGTAAGGATATGATTTTATATACCTATATTCACAAGCTCAAAAACACTCACAAAATATGTTTAAAACCCTTTTATAATCATTTTCAAATATCCAAAAGGTTTTAAACAAAATTGGAAATGATTTGGACAAAAATGAAAAAATTGTCAAAATGGTCAAAAGGTACCTAGGTACCGTATGCACGGGACCCCCCTACCGTGTGGACGGGACCCACCTACCGTAAGGGGTACCGTAAGAGATAGGTACCGCCAGAGAGTTTTGGCCTGAGAAGGTACCTAGCTACCGTAAGCACGGTACCCCCCTACCGTATGGACGGGACCCCCCTACCGTATGGACGGGACCCCCCTACCGTGACCGTTGGGTTACTGTTCCTGATTTGTGATTTTGAATTAAATCAACCCTAATCACCTCCCAACGGCTAATTAACATCTTCCACTATAAATACAAGCCCAATCCTTCATATTTCTTCAAGAAACAAAGCTCTAAACATCCTCTCTTTTTATTCTAAGTGTGTTCATCCTTTTATCAATTATTTTCAGTATTTTGGCTATTTCAAGAGCCTTAAATTCCTGAATTTTATACACACACTTTGAGCTTGTGTTTCTAGTTATATACTCTCATATTCATAAGTTTGTATTGTATTTTTGAGAGAGTATAATTTCCTTCTACACCGGCTAAGTTTTGTTCTTCATTTTTATATTCTAGCCGTTGTGTAGAATCCTATTTCGTGTTCTTCAAACACAGGTTCTTACGATCGAGAATAGCCGTTAAATTCTCACATTGTAACGGTCAAGGATAGCCGTATAAATCCTTGGGTAAAGGTTCAAGGATAGCCTTTGAAATCCTTGGGGGAGCGGTAGAAGATAACCGTTAAATCTTCATTGTAAACGGTTCGAGATAGCCGTGGTGAAATCTCGGAGTGAATCCTATTGGCAAGGGTTGTTTGCCAAACTAGTGCGGTGCTTTGACGGAGTTCAAGAGGCCGGAACTTAGTGGATTCGGAAATCCTTGAGGAGGAGCCTCGAGGTACTAGAGTAGGGAGTTCCCGAACCAGAATAAAATCGGTGTGCATTTTATTTACGCTTTTATTTCTGCATTTTATATATTGCTTCCGCATTTGCCAACACCGTTTTTATTAAACTCCGAAAAGATTTTCAACGCCTTATTCACCCCCCCTCTAAGGCGTGGGCACAACGATTAAACCGACTAACATTTTTGACCCATAAAATAAACTCAATTCAAAAGTGATTTCATAAGATTAGAAATCATAATCTTGACCCTTGACAACATCATATTAATCATTTGGATTTAATTCATAGATTTTTATCTCATTCATATTATTAAATTAATTTATGACTGAGACAGACCTGAACACTGAGAAAAATAAAAGTTCTCAGAAAAATATTTCGATTACATCAAAATTCTAGTTTTAACAGTCTCATTCCAAAAACACAATCCATTTTAAATTCGGAGCAGTTTGGGCTAAAAAGCGCGTACCGTTGTAGTCAGTTTATCAGTTACGGAGTAGGAGAATATTTTAAAATCCCTACTCAATCACGTATTCAGCCCATGATCTCCACTAGCCACCTCAATCTTCACCAATCACTCCAAACTTCCTATCCTACACTAAAAACCAAAAGAAAAATATAATAAACAAAGAAAAGCTATACTATATCACCATCACCATCTTCTCCTATCATTCACACACACAACACTCTCCTCTCCATTCTCTCTCTGTCGGCCAAACAAGGAAAAGAAAAGAAAACTTCAACTCCATAGTTGGTTCAAGAAGAAGAAGAAGAAGAAGCAAGAAAACCATCCATTGTTTCCAAATCATGAGTTCCAAATGCTGCATCAGCGTCTACGTAAGTTCTGTAATTTTCCATCCATTATCTCGAAATACTTTCTGAACCAAAGTTGTAGCCCCGGACGATACAATTCCTGCCCAACAAACGGCTCCCGATTTCGTTAAGTAACAAAGAAAAAATGGCCAAAATACCGGGACTGCGCCAGTGGTGGCGAGCTCCTCGGGTTGGACCATTTTCTTCACCAAATTCATATTGTTTCATTCCAAGAACTCACCATAAACTCTCTAACAATTATTAGGAACATCCAAAAGGTATCGTAGAGAAGATTCGGTGTTGGAATATTGAAGTTAATGGGTTAATCCTCGGAACCGTTGTTCATCGACATATCCGAAATCCTGGACAGCAACTATCCCTTGACTTCAGGTCTGATTTACGCTATCTTACATATGTTAAAACGAAATACTTTCCATAAGAAAGTTGTAGCCTTACATCTTAGGAATCCACAGAATAAAACGGTTTGCAATTTCGTGAAGAAACGATGGAGATATGCCCAAATTACCGCAGGCTGTCCAGTTGTGACGGGAATGAAAAAGTTGGTGAATTTCGATGTTGTTTCCACTCCCGCTCATCCGTAAGGTTTCGGCCGATGATTTCCAGGTCTGTACCTTTGCGTTAGACTTGTCGAATCATTCATCACATACGTACATGAACATATATATTAATCCATATGTTGAAATCATCCCAAAATATATATGTGATGCATATATAAGTTATCTATATGTTGAGATTAAAATACACCAAATCCATAAAGTTAATATACACATAAGTAGGTATAAACTTTGGAAATCAACCCAACAATATGTATATGTTAATCAAAGGTGTTTAAAATACTTAAAGACGTATTTTGGACACTCAAAATATCAAGAGAAAGATTCGAAGACCCAAACGGTCGACGTAAATGGTCGACCGTCGCGTTAAACTTCGAGACGAACCAAGACTGTCAGCCAAACAGTCGACCGCCGACGGCTGACGGTCGACCGCCGCTGCCCAGCCGAGGACTGTCATACCATTCAGTCAACAACGGTCGACCGCCGGTCAACCGCGGTCGACCGTCACGGTGATCCGAGATTGTCGAAATGATTTTAAGCACGGTCGACCGCCGTGCTAAACGGTCGACCGTTCCGAGCCCCGTAGCTTATTTAACTGATATTTTAATCATGTTTTACCCAAATAAATTAATGTATGATTACATATTCAAAATGTTCATAAATTGTTCACATCATATCATTCATTTCATCATTTATATTGAAGCATATCACATCATGTGCATGCGTAAGAGATCATGCGTAGTGCGTCTCTTATAGCGTGATTGTGCGGGACTTAGTAGTCCGACATCACAAGTTCGGGCTTAGTGTACGTACATGGTATTAAGGTCTCCGGGTACCACCCCTATTTTTCTAGTCTCACCTCATTCGTGAGACTAAGGCCGCGTGAGTTCGTCGTACCAAATGGGCGAATCTCATAGCGCAAGGGTGTCCTTGCAAGTTATAGGATCATATATCATGTTATCATCAAGAACAATTACATTGATTACATAGGTGTCATGTAATCGTCATCAAGCGAAAGTATATTGATTACATAGGTATCATGTAATCGTCCTCACAAGCAAATTGATTAAATGTGCCATCATGTAATTATCATTAAATATTTATCATCATGATTCATCAAATTGACCATATGATAATATGTGCCATATCATGAATGTTACTATACATTTTGTGGACGTATATATATGTATATGTATATGTCTGTGAATCATTCTACAATTCTAGCATGGTACCACTCAGCGGTTTCGCTGAGCGTGTAGTTTGTACTTTTCGTTGACTACACGTAGGTAATAAGAAGACAATGATGGAACCACTCCCGGAGGGCATTAAGTCAGAGGAGATGCAAGGATGGCAGGCAAATGTTTGATCATCAAGATTTTAAATGTGTCATGATTTGATTATTATTTTACTTCCGTATTACTCTGAAAATATTTTTAAATGGGTCGCGATCCAGAGTCTGTAAATTTAACATTTATAAGTAAATTAAGTAAATGTCATTTTTAAATGTCAAGCGAAATTTTTATTTAACTCTGGTTTCACCTTAATACGTGTAATTCCGGGTTATACGGATTAGGGTGTTACAATTTTGGTATCAGTGCAAAACGATTTTCAAATCATTGAGTCAATATTTTCAAAGTCCTGCATCCGCATCCTCCACGATATCTCTGCCCCGGGAAGGTAATCAACAAGTTACTATGGCATAACACACAATCTTAACCCATTGAAAATTTGCTTCCTTGAGTTGCTAGTATCCTCATAGACTCGATTACAACAAAGTTTAGATTGCCTCGAAATGTTCTTCGGCGATCACAGTCGACATCAGAAGATCAAGAAAAGGACTGTAAACTCGACAAGCGCGACATATACGTATGTCATAGTACGCAAATGGCTAAGTGAATAATGTGAATCAACTTCCCTCTACCTGAAGGATACATTGAAGAAAGAACTTTCTCCAATAGGAAGTGAACGAATTCTCCAAAAGGTAAATCTGTTGTTTTCTAAAAGCATGAATAGAACCTCACAAACCAGATCGAATACGACATATGTATCGAATCTGAAACACCTTCTAGGAGTGAATCTACATACAAACATTAAGATAACTGACTCGTTCGTATACCCTATTAACGTGAAAGGTCACAACAAGATGACAGTACAAAACAAGATGTGAAACTGTCACATCAATAGAGAAAGACTCGAAGATAAAGAAAAGGATTAATATTTACATGGTACATATTGATGTTGGAAATAAATACTCTTCTGAAATGCACTGGTCATGCAGCTTAGAACGATATTTATGACTAACACATAATGTACATGGATAATATTATATTACAGATGCAACTCTAAGTCTAATCTTCCAGGATTTGCAAACTCTTCATAACTGGCACCAGGACCCGGGAAAGCATTAGCAAACTCTAGCTTGTCTAAAAGCTCATCAACAAAGAAAGAAGAAATAAAAAGTTTCCTCTGATTCAAAGCCATGAAGTTCTGCCTCACCGCATCATCTAGAAACTTGATTAGGTTATTGAAATAACCGTCAATGTTCAAAAGACCAATGGGTTTACTGTGTAACCCTTCGGATGCCCATGAGATCAAAGTGAATAAACCCTCCATAGTGTCAATTCCTCCAGGAAGTACAATGAAGGCTTCCACAATATGATTCATCTCGAAATACTTATAGTAATTGCTGGAGACGGTGTACTCCGCACCATATGTTGGTCCATAGACCCCTCGTGTTGCTATATACCCAGGTATGAAACCTCTGACTCTATCACCATTATTATGGACTGTTGAAGCTACAGCTCCTTGAAGGCCAATGTTGCCTCCTCCGTAGGTAAGCCTGATTTTTCGCCTTACCAACTCCCGTCCTAGATCAACCGCTGTAGCCATGAACCTTGGATTGCTACAAGAGCATGACTACCAAGTAGACCAACGAATCTTATGGTATTAGGAAGAGCTCGAGAAGTTCCTTCCATAATGTGAGAATGTGAGACGCTCTTGCCACAATTAGATATATATAGACTCTGAAACTGGACCATTGATGGGAAAATAATTATCACCAGCCTAAAAACATACAGGAAAGTGGATTTGTTCCAGACAAGAATGTACTCGCCAATACTATAGTCTGCTGACGACATGACATATTGAGACTCATGAATAGTTAGGCTCATTGCCCTAAAATACGTTCAAACCCGAGACGAAAAGTCAAAATGACCATTTACCTAAGACAATGACCCCTTGAGTAACTTCAAAAGAGTGAAACATTAAAGGATGAAAACCTACTATTTGCCAAATAATTCTCAAACGCTATATTCGTATCATGTGACCTATATCCTTGAAATACTAAGGCTTGTTGTGTTAATTACACGCTTAAAGATTGAATTCCATATTTTTGTTATATATATTAATTCATTGAGAACTTGTTTTAACTCATAATTCTCCATCAAATCAAAAAAAATGTTTTATGATACTGAACTTCAAAAAAATCACGCATGTATCAGTAGAATCCCAAACGTATTAGAATATGACTACGTGTATAACTTATCATGTTTTTGATAATAAGTAATTTAACTATTGTGTTACGAATATTCGTGATATGACGAATACACTAATATTATAATTTTCGAGCATGAAGCTCTATCACAATTATTGCAAAAGTCTGAAATTCCAAGGTACTTCTGGAATCATTAATCAGAAAATCAGTATTCAAGAATGACTACATATCATCTTGATTATACAAACAGTGACAAAATGACAAATGTTGTCAAAAAGTTCTCCAGTCATTTCAATGTGATAAAAATATATATATTATTGTGATATATAAGTATGATATATGTGTTAACTATTACAAACAAGCTTTATTCAGCTTATTTACATCATATTAGTCAGAACAATTCTATTAAGGATCGCTAATGAGAGCAAGTTTTGAAATTATGATCTCGTATTCATCTAAGAAACATAGAATAATGACTATGGTAATAGTCATTCTCCAAAATACCGTTATGTAAAAAAACGTCAAACCTAAAAATAATTCGTTCCAGCTTGTATACAACAAAGCATAATTCGTGAAACCAACATTCCAGACAAGGTCGTCTGAGAATGATTCTACAAGAATTGAAAATTTTAAAAAAAAAATCAAGTTACCCCACATTCACGAAACATTTGTAAATTACTCCACTTTCAAGAAACGCAACCCATACAAGGACTCTTGAAAACTACTACAACACGACAAGAGCAAGTCTAAGAGTATATTCGATGCAAGTCTTCATAAAAGAAATCCAAACACGTTACATCTATCATCCGCGTATATCTTCTCTAAAGAGAACATGTCATAAGAATGACACTCAACAAAACAAAGAGAAAACAACTTTTCAAAATTTGTGTTTTACAAAAACAATGGATATTCATTATTTTGCACATCATCATTTTTAAATGACTTCATAAAGGGAATTTCGGGGACGAAATTTCTTTAAGGGGGGAAGAAATGTAATGCCACAAAATATGGCCTAAAATTTATTATAAAACAAAAGTAAATTCTGTCCAATAAGAAATATTAATACGTTTGACCAAAAATAAATGGATTTTCAAAATAATGACTTTTTCTTAAAAGTTATTTTTATGGATATGTCTCGAAGAGACGAATCCAACAGTACATTTTATGAACCAATCTAATTTATAGATTTCAAGTTATGTCAATTTTAAATATTAAAATTTGTAACTTTGGCCCATAAAATAAACTCAATTCAAAAGTGATTTCATAAGATTAGAAATCATAATTTTGACCCTTGACAACATCATATTAATCATTTGGATTTAATTCATATATTTTTATCTCTATCATATTATTAAATTAATTTATGACTGAGACATACCTGAACACTGAGAAAAATAAAAGTTCTCAGAAAAATATTTCGACTACATCAAAATTCTAGTTTTGACAGTCTCATTCCAAAAAGACAATCCACTTTCAATTCAGAGCAGTTTGGGTGAAAAAGCGCGTACCGTTGTAGTCAATTTATCAGTTACGGAGTAGGAGAATATTTTAAAATCCCTACTCAATCACGTATTCAGCCCATGATCTCCACTAGCCACCTCAATCTTCACAAATCACTCCAAACTTCCTATCCTACACTAAAAACCAAAAGAAAAATATAATAAACAAAGAAAAGCTATACTATATCACCATCACCATCTTCTCCTATCATTCACACACACAACACTCTCCT